GGGGCGGGGCGCGCGCCAACGGCTTTGGCGGCAACGGCGCTAACGGTCGCGGCGGCCCCGCCCCGCCGGCGCCATCGCGGTGTGGCGGGAGGGGAGGGGAGGAAGGGGCTGCTGCTGCTGCGCCCCCTTCGTTCCCCAAACCTCTCCGCTCGCAAAGGGGTAGGGACCGGACCCAGATGTCCCACTCAGGGGCGAAGCACCGGGCGCTGGTGCTTCCCACCCACCCCTCCCTGCCACTCTGTGAGAGCTACTCACCCTGACAGGAAATTGATGTATTTTTAAAAAATACTGCTATTTAAAAGTACTTAAAATAGTTTTAAATACCAGCTGGCACTCCTATGAACACTGGACTATTTTTAAGTGCGTGGAAAGGTGTGGCAATAAACAAATGCATTTCAGGAGCTTGRTTCTCCTGGTACCTGCCAGGCAAAGGAGTCCAGCCACTTCTTAAAAGAGCACAGAGCAGTATAAGCATAGAGGAAACTCAGCTAAATAGCCCTGCAAGCTCCCCTCTGGTCACGCAGCAGTGACATGGCAGCTACAGCATCATCTTGCACAAGGTGCAGAGAAAGATCCGCGAGAGAGGCAAAAAATGGCAAATAAACTGTACACTCTCATCAAAATTCTCCAGAGTCTTACTACGAAAACAGTATGCCTCAAATTTGTATTTTATAGAGTAAAACATACAGCCCTTGAACAGTTCTGCTGGGGGCTATTACTGAAGGGCCCTTGATGCGGATTTGCATCAGAGCCCTGCAGGGTGGCCCAGCTTGTGGYAAGGGCTGCAGGACTTCACTGCCAGAATGCACAGGCCGTTGTGGTTCCCAAGTCCCCCTTTTCAAGCTCTCACTCAGGACTTACTGAACTGTTTACCTGTTTTTAAAAAATTAAAGCAGCAGTGCCAAGGGAGGCCGAATCTAAAAAGCACTTCATATAGTTAAGGCAGGCTTACATTTAAAATGTTTATAGCCYGGTAAACCACAGTATCTAAGCCACTATTTCCAGCAAGTTTTGTTAACTACGCTTTTGTGGGAGCTACCACTTTGGGGAGGTAGAAAAAAAATACTGAAATAGATTTTCTAGGATATATAACTTAGAAACCTAAAAACTTCTGAAGCCTGAAGAAAAGCAGGTGTTTGGGCCCAAGTTTCTCACCTCTCCAGACTGGCATCCCCCTTCTAGTTTCTGCTTATGCCTACATTTGAGGTAAGAGCACATAGTAAACAGTTGGCAAGAYAGCATGCAACCTTAAGAGATCCCCTAATCCTGTAACTACACTTRCCTGCTTTATGTCCTTTTTATTAATTCACACATGAACAAAAGCCATCAGTTTGCATCCAAACAAATCAATACATGCAACGACTTAAAAAGTAGAAGAGTACCACAACATGGAGTGTATCAGCAACTGTATAAAAAATATTTTATTAATAACACATCAATAAACAAAGACCCCTTAAACACATTTTTTTTTCAGATGGCTTAAAACAGTTCACAGAAAAATTCTATACTCCAGAGCCCAGCTCAAATGGGCACCACCTCCACAGTATTAGGTAACYTCTTCATATCAATACAGGATTTTAAAAACAATTTGGTACAGTTATTTGAGAGGGAATATTTACAGGAGTAGTTTTGCTGGTTCTATTTTTTTTGCTAGAACTGCACCTATACTGGTCAAATGGGTACAGGCCTTGCCTAGTCTACAGAAAAGTCCTTTTCAAATCAAATGAAAAATATTACAGATTATGTAATATGCTTGTTCCTGAATTACAGACCTGATTTGAGCTTTTTTAGAGGCGTGGCTGCTAATTCAATGCTCTGATGTCTGTACATCTAGATCAATATTTTGTATTTTCTACTCCAAAACAGACTTTTAACTAGAGTTTTAACTTTGGAGGACAAGCCAACAAGAGACAAAAACGACTCAAAAATGCTTCCTTTGCAATGGGGCTACGACGCCACTTCAACAGTGATGATTTCACATTTCCCTGTATCTTGATCTGTGCAGGTAACATGCAAGGACCCATCCCTAGATAAAAGAGAAAGGTAAGTTGAGGACTATCTCAACACACAACTTATTAATATGCTACCACATGTTCCACAGAGCATTAATAGTAATAGTGTTCATGCAGATGAAAGGGAAGAAAAAAAGAATATCAAAAACCGCGGAAGAACAAGTTGCAACACAGATGAAATTAACTGCTCAGCACAGTAAGCTAAACTTGATTTCACAAACAGATATGCAGTTAGGTATCTCCATTAAAGCACCTACCTTCTCCAAATACAAAACAGAAAACTCTAGCACACATTTACACATTTAGAATTTACTGCTGTAACTAATTTGCTTTAACAGGAGTCAATAGGTATAGGGCAACATAATTCAAAATATATCCCTTGGGGACACTCAGCAAGGGTAGCGAACAAGTGCGTGTTCTCAAAGCACAAGAGTTCTACTTTAAAAGAATATTTCTGCTTCTCTAAATACCAGGCATGCTTCAAAGAAGACAACCTCATTTTTAAGCCAAAGAATTAGAGATAGTATCAAAAAAACCTTTAACACACTGGAAGTTTTCTGCCCAATACAATTACATATAYAAGCCATGAGGCATTTTCCTTATCAATCTTAACTGCAAATCTCTGTATGACTAGCAAGGTACTTCTAGTGAAGTCTATGAAAAAGAGCATTAATACTTCTGATACAACAAAAAAGCAGCAGTAGTTTCTTAGCAATAGTAGTTTCTTAGTTTCTATGTAGTTTCTTAGTTCTAGGCAACTTCTTATTTAGAAAAGCAATGCGAACTTCACGGCAATCCTTAAAGACAAGCATATGTTTTAACTACTTTAAGTAATTTGTAACAATGAAATTCTATTCCTTTTTAAATGGAAGATATGAGACYGTCTCCACTGAGACATTCTCCATTTGATCTACCACAGAAGACACATTTGGAAAGCCTGATTTCCTGCAGCATCATTTCTCATGCTTAACAACAYTGTTTCTAAGGTTAAAAGCATGGAGTTCCACTACAAATGAAGCATATGCAAGAAGTCCTTCATGGATTCATTAGTAACTAATGAAAACAGATTACCCTTCAGTTTGTACTGAAAGTATGGACATACTAAAATTATCTGACTGCTCCTCACAGATAATTTGATTCTTGACTACTGTCAAGCACAGTTAAACTGATCAGCTCTTCAAAGACACACAAGAGTTCTCTACACAACTGCATTTATTTACTCAAACCAGAAGGCTGCATAATTCCAGAGTGACAGAAAACTAAAATTCTGCCACATCTGCATGAATTTAGTACTTGTGAATTGATGATGCCACTGAGACAGTTCTGTCAAGTTGCATAATGAGAGCTGACAAAAATTGAACTGATTTTGGGGAATGTGGGATGAAGGGATAGGAGACACTTTCTCAGAAGCACCACACAGGTTCAACAGTAGAACGGGAAATACTTTGCGTACCTCTTCATGGTGAGGACAGTTAATATATCATGTAGGCCATCCTCCTTTTTATCTAAATCTTGGAGTACAATCTATTAAAAAGAAAATAGAAATTTAAATTCTCTAAACTTTTGCACGCGAGTTCAATAAAAAGACAGCAGGATACAAGTGATAAGGTGCACAATTTATTGTTTAGTAWACGCTAATAATAATTTAACACCAAAGCATGCCTGAGTATTTCATATACCTGCAGTACGATTCTATAGGTATTTAGTTATTTGCCTGTTCTCATGTTTCTGGGCCTATCGCTGAAATGACTGTGGAACTTATAACTCTCACTCACTAGAATAAGAGCTTAACAAGCTCCTTCACCTAGGATTAGTTCTAATTACTACACAACGTCCTATCCCCTCACAGACCTTTGGATAAGATTAAGGTGGACATTTAGATCCAGTGAAGAATTAGATTTCTTAAAGAAGTGTTTACATATTCATAGCACATTCATGGAAGAATGTCTGGGGACAGTTTCCAAGAAGATGTGATATGTGTGATTCTTCTTTTGCAACAAGAGGATTGCAGGTAGGGTTGGCTTTTTTTTTTTTTCTCCTCCTCCTCGATTTCCAAATAATTCAAATGAAAAGACATATGAATGTGCATACTCACCTGTGCGAATTTGCCTTCTTCACTCAAAGGACTTTTTCCTAATGACTCATATAGCTCAAGGCACACAGAAGAAGTGTTTCCAGGCGCATGCAAGGTGTGCTGCCTTCGAGCTGGCAGCGGTGTCCCTGATGGAAATAGCACTGTGAATTTGTCAGCCCCCGACTCGTCTACTCCCTTAAAACAAGAAAAGGGTTCATTACTTTCTCTACAGCTCTTCAGTGAGCTAGAAGCTATAAAACAGTGCACCATGCAAAAACAAACGCCTCAAGATTCTTTTTTTGCTGTACTTACTACCACAGCAATTCCAAAAAAAAACCTACTACAAGTGATAAATCCACTACTAAAACATCAAAAAGATCAGATTTAACTCATGCTGAAATAAACAGAAGTTTGACAGTTCTCAAAGACTTAAATCGGCACTTGGAGATGACCTATAATTTCCTTTTAAAAACAGATTATAAAGCAATACCACATATCTAGCAACAGTAACACATGCAGTATTATGTATTCATTGCAGAAGTAAAATTCAAAAGTTAAATAATTTTGTTCAAAAGTTAAATAATTTTGGCCTTACCTTAAGTAGAATATCTCTGGCTGAACACTCAATTAAGAGTGCTTCATCTTCTAAGGACAGATTTTCTTTCCCTAGTAGAATTCCTGCTTCTATGGCTGCACCAATAGGAATTACTTCATCTGGAGGAATAGAGTTCAGCAGCTCCACAGTTGGAAAGATGTCTTTGATCAGCTGCTGTAGCTTTGGGATTCGAGCAGACCCACCACACAGAACTACCTGGAAAATAYGCACCAATGACTTTAATCTTCTTTCACAACTATCAACAAAGGCAGGTTCCAACTCYCAATACAGAAGCTCACGCGGCTCTGGGATATTTTATTATCTGTAGCTCTTAGGAAAAGTTAAAGTGACTTTTCACATTTCAAGTTAAAAGCAGCAGCTTGCCAGCTTGAAAAAGTACACTGAAGTATCATCTCTTCACACATCAGCTAGATTAAGATGTGTAAATAACCAGACATAATTTTATGCTCGATTTCTGAGTTGAAATGAACCTCCAGAGACCATCAAGTTCAACCTCCTGCTCTAAACAGATCCAGTTAGAAAAGGCTGCCAAGGACCTTATCTCTAAGGGCAGGGTATCCACTAGCWCTTCTGGGCCCCCATTTCAGTATCTGACCACCTCGCAGTAACAATATTTTCTTTTTATCTAGAATTTCCATGTTGCAACTTGTGCTTGTTGCCACTCACACTTCCATCATATACTCTTAACAGTCAGGTTTTGCTGTGTCAGCCTTCCCACTAGATTAGACGGCTGCAGACAGCAGTAACGCCCCCCCCCCCCCCGACCCTTCTCAACTTGAGGCTGAACAAATCCAGTTCTCCTGGAGTCACTTTTAAGTCACATGCTCCAGCCCCAAAGCACCCAGTGCCATCAAACTTTTTCTTCTCCAAAAGGGGCATATAAAATCCATATACAGTCTATGTAGAAAACTTTCCTACACCTACTGGCTATATTTTATTATCACAGGACAGCAGGTAGTTGGCAGCCTTCCTGCAGTGAGCGCTCCGCCAACCCCAGCTTGTTCACCATTAACCCAAGCTCCTTCTGCCTCTCTAGCCCCCAACCAACCTGCTCTATGGGCTTCCTGCACCCCAAATGCAGGGCTCTGCATTTGCCTGTGATGCACTTGATGACTCTCCTCCTGTCAGTCCATTTCTCTTGCACTTTGAGTTCCTCTGAATAGTAGTCCACCCCTCCAGTGCATCAGCTGCTCCCTCCAAATTTGATACTGTCTACAAACTTGCTGAGAGAACACAGTACCCTGTCATTTATTCATTACCACCATAATGGTATCATTGCCACCACAAAACAAAAGACAGTCTGAGAGCAACAGCCTAGGACACTTCATTAGCCTCGAAGTCAGAAATCACATAGTGAATAATCAGAATATGCTGCTCCTAGTTACACAYAGGATTCAGGTGATACTTCACTGCTTAGTGAATACATAGCTGCAACACATACTTTCAACTCAGAAATAAATTTCTGCTCCTCCTTGAGCCCTAGGGCTCAAAGCAAAGACTGGAGCCCTAAGAGTATGTCTGAAACCACATACTTTGTTGAACCTGACCCAAAATGCTTAAACACATCCAGAAATAATCTCATAACAGTCTGTGAGGGAAACAGGTCTCACATGCATTTCCTATGGAGTTAAAAAGCATACTGGAGACAAATGATTTCCATTAGTACCTTATTAATATCATCTGCTGTAAATTCAACTTGTTCCAAGAGTTTTTTAATTGCTTCTATACATTTATTAAAAAGTGGAAAGCAAATAAGTTCAAATCTGGCCCTGGAAAAAAAGAGAGAAAAAAAATCTCATTCATTAAATCCAAAGAAGTGATTTTACTGTGAAAATATCTGCACTATTGTTTCCATCACTAACACCTATTCAGACTGCCAATCTTTTTTTTCAGTGCACTCTAGAAAGACTCCCTTCCTCACTCCATTTTCCCATGCAAGTAAACACAATGAAGAAGTGAAAAACCTGGAACCTCTTCCATCTGAAGACACACACAGGCTGAAGCATGCCACCTGAATCTTCAGAGGCAAACCATCTGCTGCACGTATGCAAGAGTAGGTATTGAAAACAAGCATTACTTAAGTTTGTTTCAAGCRCTTTCAAGCCTGGAGAGGAAGCTTCGCTCTGCATGTGCACAAAATGAAGCTCTATAACCCTGCAGTTCACAGGACTAAAAGCCTAATGAATCCAAAGCAAGGCAAATGGATGTTGTGCAGCAGAACTCTTGGATCTGCAGACACACTGTGCCTCATTTAACCAAATCTGACTGCAGTAACAATGCACACACAATTCTAAAATAAAATTAAAAAATAATACAAAAACTAGTTCATTTTGCCAAAGTTGACAACAGTTGAAAAGAAACTTAAACCAAAATATTTCATGAAGACACTGTCACAAGACAGAAGCAGTCTRAAGGAGGAAACAATAGTGTAAATACAAAAAAAGATGGAAAGCATCTTTCCACTCCCAGTTTTAAAAAAGACAGTCTCCCCAATTTCCGTACTTCTGGAGATCATTTTTAAGGCAAAAGCCTTTCGTTTTAGAAAGAGCGCAGCAATAAAACAAAAGCACTTAATACAAGCATCATTTCTCCTTTCAGTTGAATGGATTCCAAATACAGGGTCTCCCGGCATCTTTTCTTTTCAGTTTATTTTCAAATCATTATTGCAACATTATGCAGTTCTACTGACCAGCTACTGCAAATCTTGCTCATAATAGAACCATCAACATAAGACAAAACAGGAAGAAAACAGCATTTTTATTTTTCTCCAAAATTAAGATCACCAATAATCTGAAAATAAAGCAGGAAAAATAGAAAATGTCATACAGTGCAAGGGAAGTAATTTGGAACTTGTTTTACCTGGACACATTGCAATCAAAATCCAAGCCGTCATACAGTGAATCCACAAAACAATTTGCACTTCCCAGAGTTGACAACGAATGCTTTGCTACATCAGCACTGTTCATCAGCTTCATCATGGCCCTAGGATTCCCTCTGATATCGTGTTTACAAGACCTATTTAATCAGAAACACTGATTTAGGATGACAGATACTTGCATGACGTGCTAACTTTCCAAAAGAAAAAAGAGGTTAAAGCTATTGAATAATTTTGAACCTACACTTAAAATAATAGCATTACAGGCAATACTAAAGTTTATCAAGAATAAAAATGGCTATTTCAAATTCAACTAGAAAAGTATGTAGAGGCACTCCTGTGAACTGAGACACAGTGACACCTCGTCACATCTCCTGTGACACAGGCTTCAACCTTATGACCCAGACTACCCCGTGCTGCTTAATGCCAAGCCTCCTACACACCCGCAGCAAGTTAAATCTACCAAAAGCTTTAATTATAAGAATATACGCATCACCCCAAGCAGTTCGTAGCAGAGCCCAAAGAAGTCTCCTCTTAATTCAATACGGAATTCAGACAATGTCTACCCAAAACCAAACATCTTCCTCCTCCTTCCCAACAGCAAATTGTTCCTTTATATTTCAGAGTCATTTCAGTCATGGACAATGCGTTAAATCTGACGGAAATAATAACAATATTTTTTAAAAATATTAGATTTTTTWAAAAATATTAGATAATGTACTTCTTGTCCTAACAACAACATACATACTTAGAAATTCAAAAACGTACCTCTGAAATTCAGATGCTAAGTGTTGTGCTAAGGCTTCTGTGAAGCAAACTCCACCTATGCTATCATCTGTGTTTGTAGCAAGAACACGGTACATTCCGCTGTTTACTTCTATGACTGTAATAGAGAGCGACGTTCCACCAAGTTTATAGACCAACACGTTACTGCCATGGTAAAAAAATAAAACTAAGTATTAAAAACATGTACAGCTACGCTTGCTTTGATATACTTTCTAAAGCTATCAACTTGAAATAGTTCAGGTTTTGATCCTTGAATAAAGAGAACTTGTATCGGGGTGATTGGATTTAAGGTATCTGTGGTACCAGCAACTATTTTAATGTTCCCTAAAGAATAAGACACACATACAGCAAGGGTAGCCAGTGTTTATCCTAACACTATCCCTGATTATGAGCTTTAGCATTATACAACCCAGTTACATGAGGGGGGAAAAAAGAAGAAAAAAAGCTCCCCAAAAAACCTGCACATCCGTCTGGCTTATGGGTAAGCTTTGCTGTTTTGGCAAAATCTTATGAGTTATCTGAAGACTCATACACTGGAAAGCAAACCCAGCTACTGTGTGTAGGAACTTAGTTTTACTCATTCTACCATGTGCAAAAGCGACACCAACTCGAACAGTTAAAGATCAGTTTTACGCAAATCCTTGCAAGTAAAGGGATGCATCTTTATTTAAGCTAGTCAGCTCATTAAAGAGTAAGATGCATCTGCTTGCAGATTCTGTCTCAAAAAACAATCCACACACTATAAAGCAATTTCAACATCACAGGCTAAAAGCAAACAGCTTTTTGGAGAAAAATGAGAAAGCAAAGCTTCAAAATACTAATTTTGTATTTATTGTTACAGCAACACAGCATTCCCTCCCCACTTTAGATTTCTCAAGGATAGAACCTCTGTGGACTAACTATAGTAAATTAAAGGTGTAAAATATTAGAATTCTACCTTTTCCCAGTGGGTGAATCTTGGCCAATTCCATAAGCCAGGAGTGCTGCAGATGGTTCATGGATTAACCTCATAACATTAAATCCAGCAGCTGCAGCTGCTTCCCTGTGATAAGGCATAACAGCATTTAATGATTTCATTATAGTTATGCACACTATTAAGACTTCATCACAACTAGATAAGCCACCAATTCAGACCTGGGTTGCAGTACGATAATAAAAAAGTGATTGGAGAAGAAATGGGCTAATGTGTTGCTACTGTGTTCTTCAGGTAGTTGGTTCTGTTTTGTGATTATTGACAAGAAAAAAACACTGAGGTACAGCCTTACACATACCATGGAGCAAGAAAAAAAAAATGCACACACCGCCAAAAAAGCATATTAATAGCAAGATTAAAACAAACAACCACCACACACCTAAGCAACTGTGGGAACTTTTTCTCAAGTGTAGGGAAGYAAACAGTTTTGATATGTCTTTCCACCAGTTGCCATGCCAGATAAATACACTTTTTACTTCCAAATCAAATTGCCACAGATTTTTAAACATTTTTTTTTTGAAACTTTAACATCTCTGGATCTGTTCTACAATTCATTTATCCATTTTGAAGTTAGTTTGGTACTTGTACAATGACACAAAAAAGTCAGCCTACCATACAACTTGCAAATACTCAGTTCACATTTTATGACTGGCTGTRTCCAGAACATGTCAGGAGGGCTCTTAACAGCTTCTAAATACCAGAAACTAGCAGGAGATGCTGCTAATTACACACAGTTTAGTCTCCTGATTATGTCAAAAAGTCTGCTCATCTTTTTTTGTGAGTAAACTTTTACACCTGGAGAACTTTATTTTACTTAAGTCATTTTGGCTGAAAAGCAAGTATGACAAACATCCCTGGACCACGCTATGGGCATAAGCCATCATAGGACAAGGTATCCTATATACCGCCCTGTCACGCCTATCCAACTGGATTTTTTTCTTTATATATATATATATATACACACACACACACACACACTCAGCATCAGCTCCGTGACAAGAAGTCCTCAACAAAACCACGTATTACCACTTGGATTGCTGAGTTTAAGACAGTGGGAAATCACTGAGGAAGCCTGAGGCAAACTAGACACATTTTTCTAAGAGGACACAAAGAGAAATATCACTTCTGAATTTAAATTCTAACTTTGAGGTTGTCAAAACYCCCTCTCACTTAAACTGAATCAGAATTTCAATGCATATGACAAAGCAATCTCCATGAAGAGTTACTGAAGTTAAGATTTTATTTCTAATAACTACATTTTCACTATTCAGTCTAGCATTCCATTTCTCAACTCATGGCAAAAAGCTGAAGTCTAGCAGGAGACAGGCTGCTTTAGGCACATTAAATAACAGAATAAACTCAATTCTCTTACCCAAGCGCATTTTTCTGATTCTCTCCAAAATCAAATGGTACAGTGATAACAACGTCATTTACATCTGAACCCAAAGCAGACTGAGCAGTTTCTATTTATAAACATAAGCAGAACATATTGATTAAAAACAGAAATATAAAACAAGAGACCACATCTCAAAAAATAAGGACATCTTAAAATATCTTACGATTTTAGTTATTACATACCTTTCATTTTACTGAAAATGAGTTTTGCAACATCTTCTGGACTAATAAGTTTGTTATCTATTTCATAGTGAAGTTTTCCATTCTTCTCAACTACCTGTAAACAAAACCACATATTCATAAGACATATAATTTGGTTATTAATAATAAAACAATGCTTAACTTAATTTCCATTTGAAATAAAATGCACTGGACTTTTAAATACTCTCTAAGCTAGCATTCTGCTGAAAGGGAACAATCACTTCTGAAGTGTTTATCAAAGACAGACTTATCACCAAAAAGGCCTGCGCTGTCCAATAAATATTAATGTCATTATGATATGGACTTATGGGCTCCAGACTTCCKTTTATAGCTAAAGAGTTTTCCTTAGTACAAAAGGAAATCTCATAGCAAGGGTGCTTGGTTATGTTCAGTACCGGTTATCCACATAGAAAGAGTAGAAGACCAGATGAAAATCTCATTCCCCTCTTGGACATGAAGTCTTTTAACTAGGCTTTGATAAGCGGTGTGCTCACTCACATACTCAAAGATTCTAACGAACATGAAGTAAAAAGAGCTTTGTAAGATTTAAGGCAATTGTTTTACCAGATTTCCAATAACAAGCCCAGAATTAGCCAAATAAATAATGTGATTAAATCAGGTGGTTAAGCATTCACAGACACAAAATGCCCTATCATGAGCGACTTCTACCAACACTAACAAACACTACAATGTTATTTAAATATATTAAAATAATCATCCTTTTTRAGAATGCCCCAGAGATAAAATATTTTTTCTGTTAGATCACATTATGACAGCAGCTTTCAAGACACGGTGAAACCTTCACCTTCTGAACAGAGAAACACACTCCACTTCGTGTCACGCAGGCCCCATATAAAGGCAGCTGATCACTAGATAACAGAAAAACACTTTCACACAGACAGTGCAATAAAGAACACTATGAAACAAAAGTTATTCTGAGAATGGCAACAAGAATTGAATCATACTCACTGAACACTTGCTTTCCGAAATGTATTTCTCAGCTTGTGGGTCACCAGAGCTATCATGTGAAATTTAGAATAGCAGAATCAATCAGGCAAATATCAGTTAAAAAAAAAAAAAAAGCTGACATACCTAATAAGATCTATTGTATATGAAACTACACTGCAGCTGAAAACCCTATTCTTGCTATAGATATCTATACAGGTGAAGAAAAAATATCTCCGACAGCTAATATCTTTCAATTCCCTTCCCCCAAACCGAGACAGAAACAAGAACATGAATATGAAGATAAACAGGACTTAAAGGGACARGAAAAAATTATTTTCATTAATACCATTCTCAATAGTCAATTATRAAGTTATTTTTATTGTTATAACACAGTAGCAATTAACTGTCTCTAACTTATGTTGACTAAAGAAAGATATGGCTTTAAAGCAAAAGGCTAAGAAAGGCATCGGAACAGATAGCACCTTCTTAACTTATTTCAATTAAAGAGCTGTCACAAGGAGATTATCACTAAAATGTTTTGGGGAATCACTGATATCAGACATAAACTAGTAACTTTAGTTCTAAGTCAACACAGCTATCACTGCAAGTCATCACTAGTCCTCTAAGCAAAGAACAACAGAATATATTTCACCAACACGTTTCATCACTGTTATAAGGAGGGATTCGAATTTCAGATGAACTAAACCAGAGCTAACTGGAGTCCAGGTAAAAAAAGAAGACATTTTCTAGGTAAGAAAAGAAAAAAGGCATTTTTGTTAAGGAACCTAAGTACTTACCATAGGTAAATAATCTACTTATTACTGAATCCCTGTTGAACATGGAAACAAACTCAGGTATGAAATAAATACTCCGCACTTTTTTACAACTGCAATGAAACACAGACGAGGTTTCCACAGCACGGCACACGCACAACCCCTATCACAGACGAACTTAAGAACCGCTGGTGYTGACAAACACGGCACACGTTCACACCGCAGCAGCCCCGGGAGCCGCCGCTCGCGCGCGGGCCCCACCTGCGGCCCAGGAGCTGCTTCACCTTCACCACGGTGCTCGCCACGTTGCGGACCCTGCTCTGCTTCGCGGCCAGCCCGACCACCTGCGGGGCAGAGCGCGGCGGCCGTGAGCGCCACCCTCCCCGGCCCGGCCCGGCCCGGCCGCCGCCGCCACCTCCTTCTCACCTCCTCGCTCTCCGAGAACGCCACGACGGCGGGAGTGACGCGGTCCCCGGCGTCGTTGGCCACCACGTCCGCGCGCCCATCCTGAGGGGAGAGAGGCGGCCCGTGAGCTCCCGSTGCCTCCCGGTGCCACCGGCCACCCCGGCGCCCACCCAGCCCCTCACCTTGTAGATGGCGGCGCACGCACACGTCGCGCCCAGGTGCACGCCGATGGCCGCCATAGCCCCACAATGCACCGCGCTGTCCCCCCTCCAAGCCAATCCCGCTGCCCGCCGCGCGCCGCCTGCCAATCAGAGCCCGCAGCACCCCTCCCACCAACCAATCACGGTTCCTCCTTCCCCTCCTCCTTCTCTTCCTACTCGGCGCCTCCTGGGAGTGTCGTCATCGGCGCGGGAGCCAATGGGAAAAATCGGGAGAAGTGCGTCATCGGGTGTAGTAACGGGGCAGAGCTGCCGTGTGAGGGGGCGGCCGTTAGTAACGGCCGCTGGCTCGCCGGCTCGCCGGCTCTTAGTGCTTCGTGTGGAAAAATAAACGCGTCACGAACAGAAACGTCCTCGTTTCCTTCTGGAAACAGTCCCCAAACGCCCCTTTCCTTGTGTTCGAGCCCTGTGACAGCCGAGGTGTGGCAACGCAGGAAGAGAAAGAAAGAGTATTTTTAGGCTATTTCAGCAAACACAGAGCTGAGAGGCRTCGCAAAGCAGTAGCCAACACGGCTTTGGTGGCATGTGCCCGCAGATCCCCCTTGATGAATGCTCAGGGAGCGCGTTTGGGATACAGCCAATTTCCTTATGCACCTTAGAAAGCAGCAGAGTCACCTAAAAATACAACTTTATATCCTCCCCTGTAATATCCCAATACTTGCACAGTACATTATTCTGTAATAATTCAGGTTCAGGTGCTTATTTGGCATTCCCTCTGAGACAGGGCAAGCAATAGATGCAGCCACAATTTGGTAAGAGGCCTCTGCATCCATGGGTAGGTTCTTAAGGAAGCAGCCTCACCATGCTTGGTGTGCCCATAGGGGGATTTCTTAACCCCCATTGCCCCAAATCCTCTGGTTTAGCCAGGTACTCTGCTGAAACCTCTTTATAATATTATTCCCCACCAAAGAGCTAGTGGCGAAAACCTTCAAAGTGAGACAAGGGCCCTAATCTCTCCCAGTCCATGGCACATCTCTCAGCCAAAGACTTGACCCAATGAGGCCAATTCTAGGCATATTATAAAATTAACCTTTGCAAAAGCTCAAGATATTTTTGAACTTAGAGCTCACAGTCAACTTAGAAGCTGGATGCACAAGTGGATTCTCTCTATACTGTTCATAGTAAGGTGACTGCCTGCCATAGTATCGTGGAAAATCATGGAGTCTACAGCAAAATGGGAACAAGTCTGCTAAGTGTTTTCAGTGGGAGCAAGTGTCTCTGTTGAACAACAGGCTGGCAAATAGTGTGTGCTCTAAAATTCCTATGTTGTGAGGGAATAAGGATGAGAGAACTTCTTTTAATTATTTCGTGCATATTGGGACTTCATTCTGAGGAAAACACGCTCTAAGGAGGCTAGAGGCAGCAGCTGCAAGACCCTGTGGTCTTCTCCGGCCTCAGGATGGGAGCAGGGTCAGCAGAGACAATGTCAGGAAGGCTCTGGGGAGCTGTCAGCAGCCGAGGATGCTGGACAGCAGTCCACGAGGMGGCTCTTCTCTCCTGGGTTTGGAGGCGGCCGGTTCCTCGGACAGCGAGACTCAACATTTCCCTGTCTCCTGCTGCTGGGGGTCTGTCTGTGCATCATAGCCAAARGCGGTGGGTTTCTGTGGGGAGTTAAAGCTCTCCCTAACACTCGTCACACATTTCAAAGCACTTGACAAGGTCACTTTCACTATTCTCCTTGCTTCGTGTCACAGCCGCTAAGGGACATGAACACATTCAATTCGTGTTACTGAATCAGTTTGATTAAATCTTTCTGTTAAGTTTTAGCAAGCGGAACAGAGTACTTCTTACGAACATAGGTGGAAGGCTGACTGCTTTGGAGCTTTTCCCCTCCAGAGTCTGAAAAATAAAATAGACACTTTGGGAAGCAAATCTGTTGAAACGTTGACATTAATGCCTGTAGGTGGCATAAATGCAGCATGCAATTGCAGTGCCTTACAATTTTTCTGCARTGTTGAATCTGCTTGGCAGCTGAGTAGGTTTACAGTGAGGTTGAAGCCACATTCCTTTTTTTCTTTTTTTTTCTTACACCAGAGTGCTTATTAGGAATATCTCGAAGTATTTTTGTATTCTCAGTAAATGTGCTTGTGCTTGGAAGTCAAGAATGTTAGTTTTCTTGCTCTCTTTCCTTGAAAAGGCTTTGATTGCCTGCAAAACAGCTCATCATTTATTGTACCTCGTTTCACAAGCTGGAGTCACCAAGTCGCAAAAATTCTGTGATTTTACAGCCCGAGAAAACCAAAACTCCAATCTGAGACAGTGATCAGTATTAACCCACACTGAGGTATCCGGAGGGATTTAGCTCCAGCTGACACAGTCTGAAAACAGGATTGACCTGAAGAAACCAACCTGCTCCATGCTGCTCTGCTGCCCTTCTCTCCTGGCTCCATTCTGCCAATTGCAGATGATTCTGGATGGGGCTAAGGAGGCTCTAGTGGCTAATGAGACACAGTGGGTGTTCATAGGTAGAGGTGGAACTCACAGAAATCCCCTGTAGCCCATTAGGAAAGCCAAACAGGTATTATTTAGAATAAGCATGCATTACAGATAATTGCACATACAGTTTAAGCGGCTAAAATAAGAAATATGCATTACCCTTGATGCTGTTTTCTAGACCACGTTAGGCACTGTTACCTCTAGGTACGTCTACCATGGTCATGACTAAACAATTTAATTGCTCAGGCCAAGTCTGACAACTTTTAAACATACGCTTAAGTAAGAGCTTTTTCCAAGGACAATAACAGAAAAAAAAAAAAAGCTTCAAGTAACTTCCTCTCAAAATTTTGGCCTTTTTCCTCTCCATGTTCCACTTTTTCCATCTCCTAAACGATGCCAGAATCACTTTACGTAGACACTGAGAGCTTGTAGTAATAGATAGGAAGTGTTCTGAGCCTTTTAGCTGGAAGAAGCCTTGTAGATAGAAAATGTCTGTGTTAATAACACATCCCCAAGTCCCGATGTTACACAGGAAGCAGTGATGCCCTCCCAGAGCCTTCCCAGAAGATTTCAACGTGAAAAATGCTTGAAATTCACTTTTACAGTTGTAGTGGAAAACCTTGTGTGCACAGGAAATGGGATGAGTTTCACAGTCTGTGGCTTGATTGCAGTACAGAAGTGAACAGTACCTAAAATAGCAGTTATTAAGCTGCTAGTTGAATGAACAACCCCGAACTGACTACACCAAAGCAGGTCATGATCAGCATCAGATCAGTCATATATTTATATATATAATATATATTTATACTAGGCATAGGATCTAACTTAGAGGTGAAGGTGCTGGCTTGAAACAAGAAGTTAATTTTGTGTTCTGATAGAGAGGTGCTGTGTAACCATAAGCAAGTTATTTTATTTTGCTGTTTCTTGAGCTCTTCAAGAATCTACAGTAGTACCATTATAGTAGTAGTTTCCTCCTCCTAAAGGTGTTACAAGGAAAACTGCACTAATTAGTTGCCTGCTTAGAGGTGATTGTAATTGGACCATGTAGCTAGACCACAGCTCTTCCTTATCTCTGCTGACCACTCGTGGGCTGTATCATGTCAACTAAATTGATTTTGGAACAAGTGATTAAACACRCTTAAATGTCCATGTTAAAAACAACTCTTAAGATTAGCTTTATTGAACTGAGATCAAAGTGCTGATATATTCTGAGCTGCTTTTATTAAAAAAAAACTGCTAATGGGATCCATACAGAACCAACAGAATGAATTCCTTTCCCACAGACAAAGCCAGCGTTATCTATAAAGCTGGAAGATCAAATTAAATTTCTTTTTTAAACTCCATAAAATATTTCTTCTCCAGCTTCTTGG